AAGGTGTTTTTCAAGTTAGTGCTTAACTCCTTTGTATCTGCCTTTGATTGGCATTTCTTCGAGGTTACAACATGCAGAATCAATCAAGAGAATTCAGTCTTGTGACATAGCCAAACATGCTCTGGCAGCCTCTACATAATTAACATATTTAACCAACCTTCATAGGGTGGTTTTAAATTTGTTAAGCTATCAAAATCACCAGACTCTAATAGCCACATCAGTAAAAATGCAACCACATGAACTAAGATCTTGGCTATAAATTCACTCCTCAACATCACTCACTATGTGACACAAGAGAAATAACTTAAGATCATCTATAAAAAAATTTTTTTAAATCTGCCTAAAAGAAGTAAATTTCAATTTCCCCAAATACAATTTTTTAGGAAAACCTATGAAATGATAAATGAAATAAATGGGAACACATATTTTATCCTTTCTACATTAATATCATAATCTTCCTGAGGAGGTAGAGGAGGGCAGGGATGTGTAACATGGTGGAGAAATTATTAAACAACCAAATCAATATAATCGAAACTAAGATTTTGATATTTTCAGAAAAGAACTCAAAAAATTCTGTTAAGAAAATAATTCACCTTAAAGCAGAAGGCCAGATCAAATGACCTTTCAAAATCCCTTCAACAACAGAATTTTATATGTTTATGATAACCTGCTTAAAGAGAGTGTATCAATATGTGCAATTTACTGAAAAACTCTTTGTAAAAATATTTCTTCTTCTTCTTCTTCTTATTTACCTGAGGAGGTGCCTTTTTCAGTAACACAAGAAGAGCCTGTAATACCAGATTAGAAAATCGAGGGCCAATAGGAACATAATCTAGAAGAGAAACATTATGTTTAGAGATTCAATCTACATGTGCACATATCCCAAACATTCATATTTTTCTGCATCAAGAGTAAACATCATCCTAAATAAAAGCCATGCAACTATCTATAATAAGAAAAAATATCTCCAATAACCTAATGGCGAAAAAGACCCCCAGGTGTATTTACCAAGCATTTCTAAGAAACTACTGCAAACCATGGCAATTCAGTACTTTGACAATAAAATATGATGCTAGGAAATGGGCGGAGGGGGAAATGATAAGTAAGGAGTTTTTTTTTTTATTTTTTTATTTTTGAGACAGAGTCTCACTGTGTTG